GGAGAGCGGGGAGGCTGCTGCGCGTGGCGGTGCGCTGAGAACCTCTTCTCCCGTTGCAGGAAGCTGCTGGGGATCATTACCAAGAAGGACGTCTTAAAGCACATTGCGCAGCTGGCCAACCAGGACCCGGACTCCATCCTCTTCAACTGAGGGCGGGCGAGCAGGTGTGGTGTGTTCCACACACAAGAAACTTTCTAGAAGGTCCTGGATGTACTTTCCTATTTTTATGAAGACCGTGGAACTGTTTTCAGCGTTTCCTTCCATGGAGCTGAAGAAGATAAATTTTTTTTCTACCAGATAACCAATTGCACTACATAATCTGTGGAACACAATCTTCTTTTTAGAAGAGAAAAAAAAAAAAAGACTTTACTTTTCTTTTGTGAAGTTGCATTGGAAAGATTCCATGAAGGAGTAAAAGCAAAATGCTCTAGAATCCTATCTCCTCATTTGATTTGAGCTCTGGTTACTAACTTGGGGAGGATAAGAGAAGCTCTGTCCCTTCAGGAGTTTGGAAGGAGGAGGAGGATTTTGCACACAGCGTTCAGCTGGAGGCAGGTGGTGACTCTGGGGCGGTGTATTCCCAGTTATAGCCACTCAGTGAAAATAAGAATCTGGGAAAGGCAAAATAGGAAAGGGGGGGGGGAACTGGCCAGCTGAGGCCGTTTTGGTGAAAGAAGGAAAACAACCCGCAAACCCAAAACCCCCAGAAGACCAGATCTGCTTAAAATTGGGCCCAGTTTCTGACTGGGAAGAAGCTTATTTCGATTAATCTTCTGTGAATGTGTTGAATTGCTCTGACGCTGCCTTGGCAGCAGGACCCCGAGGAGGAGGCGGGAGCCAACAGCTGTCTTCTCGTCGCGATCCCTTTTTTAGATATGTGCCTAAGGATTCCTTCTCCTTCATTTCCCTTGAGCGTCTCGTTAAAATCTCGAAGGCTGGGCCCTGAGTTACTGCCCGGCCTTCACTGCGCTTCCCGGTAAGCCCTGCCCGTGTTCGGCGTTGCACAACCGACCTCCTCCGCACCCAGCGGTGTCCCAGGCGCCCGGGGACGTGCTCCTGCGGAGCCCTGCGCCAGGACGCTGACGTGGGTGCGTGCGCTGCTCCCCGCTCCTCTCCGCAGCC